ACACATGAACCACCTTGCCCAGCCTCATCTGGGCCATTTTGATACATGTATATTTTGGGTAATAAATCAGGGTACTTAGCATAACTATTTCCTCATACAGGTATTTCTTTGTGGTGAGAACACTCAAAATTGTTCACTTCTAGCTTTTTTTGAAAAATACAAACAATATTGTAACTAGAGTCAGGCAGCTGTGGAACAGGACTCTAGAATGTGTTCCTCCCAACTAAATGTAACTTTGTTTCCATAACCAGTCCCTCCTATTTCCCCTCCTTCCCCAGCCTCAGGAGACCACTCCTGTTCTTTCTGCTTCCTGAAGGTTAAGTTTTTGGATTCAGTGTGAGTGAGGTCATGCAGTGTTTGTCTTTCTGTGCTTGGCTTATTTAACAGAATGTTTTCTAGGTTCATCAGTGTTGCCCTAAATGAAAATTGCATTATTTTTTATGGCTGGAGAATATGTCATTGTATGTATGTACTATATTTTCTTTATCCCTTCATCTGTAGGTGAACAGGTAGGCAGATTCCATCATCCTAGCTATTGTCAATAGTGATGTAATAGACATGGAAAGGCAGATGTCTGTTCAAAATCCTGGTTTGCTTTGACTGTATACCTAGTAGTGGGATGAATAGATCATATGGTATTGTACTTTCAGTTTTTTGAAGAATCTGCAACTGCTTTCCAGAGTGTATATAGTAATTGACCCTCCTGTAAACACTTCTTTTTTCCTGGAAATTGACACCAGCATTTGTGTTTGTATTTTTGTCATATTCATGTGAAATAGTGAGATGCTTTCTGCATATGGTTTTGATTTCCGTTTCATGCAAGATTAGGAGTGTTAACCACGTTTTCAGAAAGATAGAGTCAGTCTTATGTCTTCTTTGGCAAAAAGTTTATTCAGGCTCTTTGCCCAGTTTTGGATCGGTTCCTTGTTTCACTTTTGGTTAATTTTTTTTTTTTTTTTTTTTTTGCTAGTTACTAAGGTTAGTAGCTTGTGCCTTTTGGAAAACAATGCCTTATCAGCTGTATGTTTCCTCAAACTTTCTTCTCACCTTTAGGATGCTGTTCTTTCTTGTTTTTTTTCTCCTCCCCCTTCCCCTGCACCAGACTCCGATGGGGTCTTGCTCTGTTTCCCAGGCTGGAGTTGCAGTGGGGCAATCTTGGCTCACTGCAACCTCTGCCTCCTGAGTTCAAGCAATTCTCCGGTCTCAGCCTCCTGAGTAGCTGGGATTATAGGTGTGCACAACCATACCTGGATAATTTTTGTATTTTTACTAGAGCCAGGGTTTCACCATGTTGGCCTGGCTGGTCTCAAACTCCTGACCTCGTGAGCCCCCATGTCTGGTCTAGGATGCCTTTTCTTTGGATTCATTTGTTCTGTCCTGCACAGAGGTGCTAATGTTGTCCTTAGTCTCTCATGTTTATATTTGTATTTGTTGGCAGTAATTTCAGTGTCCCATCCAAAAGAAAGAGATCGTTAAGCCATTTTATTGTCTGTGCGTATTTTTCCCCTAATTTTTCCTTTTTCTTTCTTTTTTTTTTTTTTTTTTTTTTTGGCAACCTGTGTGCACAGGGTGAAGCTTCCCCTAAATATACGCTTATCCCATGATTTCCCCTTGGAGTGTTTTGCTTTCCAGATGGAATTTAACTGTTTGATTTATTTTTCATAGGTTTTTGTGTATTGGACAACATAGGGCTGCTATTTCAATCTCGTGCATGTGACTACCCAGTTTTCTCAACTGTTGTGCCTTTGGTGTGCTTTTGAAAAATGTGTGACCTAAATATAATTTTGGATTGATTACTTGGCTCCCTTATTTTGTCCATTCGATTGTCTTTTTTTTTTTTTTTTTTGAGATGGAGTCTCGCTCTGTCGCCCAAGCTGGAGTGCAGTGGCGCAATCTCGGCTGACTGCCAGCTCCACCTCCTGGGTTCACATCATTCTCCTGCCTCAGCCTCCCGAGTAGCTAGGACTACAGATGCCCGCCACGACGGCCGACTAATTTTTTGTATTTTTAGTAGAGACGGGGTCTTACCGTGTTAGCCAGGATGGTCTGGATCTCCTGACCTTGTGATCCGCCTGCCTCGGCCTCCCGAAGTGCTGGTATTACAGGCGTGAGCCACCACGTCCACCCCATTTGGTTGTGTTTCTGTGTCCCCAGTGTCTGTTGTTTCCATCTTTATGTTCGAATGTATTCACTGTTTAGCTCCCACAACATGCAGTGTTTGGTTTTCCGTTCTTGCCTTGATTTGCTAAACATAATAATCCCCAGGTCTATCCATGCTGCTTAGGACATGATTGTGTGTTCTTCTTATGGCTGCGTAGTGTTTTGTGGTGTCTATGCACCACATTTAAAAAAAAAAAAAAAGTTGAATCCTCTGTTGCTGGTCACTTAGGATGCTTCCACATCTTTGTTCTTGTGAATGGCACGGCCATGAATGCACGAGAGCATGTGTCTTTTTGATAGAAGGATTTACTGTCTTTTGGGTAGATACCAAGTAGTGGAATTGCTGGGTCTGATGATCTGTTTTAAGTTCCTTGAGAATCTCCAAACTGGTTTCCACAGTGGAAACCTGTTTTCACATTCCCCAAGAGTGTAGCAGCGTTCCCTTTTCTTGGCCGCCTCGCCAGCATGTTGTTTTGACTTTGGAAAAATGGCCATTCTGACCAATGTGGGATGTTACCTCATTGTGTTTGTGAGTTGCATTTCACTGATGATTAGTGAGGTCATGCATTTTTTCATGTCGGTTGATCCCTTGAATGTGGTCTTTTTCTTTTTTCTTTTTTTTTTCTGAGACAACGTCTCACTCTATTGCCTGGACTGGAGTTGGAGTGCAGTGGCGCAGTCTTGGTTCACTGCAACCTCCGCCTCCTGGGTTCAAGTGATAATCCTGCCTCAGCTTCCTGAGTACCTGGGATTACAGGTGAGCACCACTGTGCCCAGCGAATTTTTGTATTTTGAGTAGAGACGGGGTTTCATCATATTGGCCAGGCTGGTCTCGAACTCCTGGCCTCAAGTGATGCACCTGCCTCAGCCTCTGAAAGTGCTGGGATTGCAGGCGTGAGCCACCGTGCTTAGTCTGTTTCCTTAAATTTCTTTACAAAAATTTACCCTATGGTAAAGGTGTACTACCAGAGGGTAGAATGAGACACTTTGGTCCATGGGTGCATTGTTTAGTGATGAAATCAGGGTGTTTAGCATATCTCTTGCCTCATAGAGTTACTATTCCTTTGAGATGAAGACATTGAGAATTCTCTTTTCTGGTTTTCTTGAAAAGTACACTCTGTTAATGTTAGACCTACTCACCCGCTGCTGTGGAATAGAACTACAGGTTTCATTTCTCTCATGGAATATGTAACTTTATTCCTGTTTCCAATCCCTGACCGTGCCCCACCTTTGAACCCCAACCCATGTTAAGAACAGGTATGCTTAACTAGTTCTATGCAATATGTTTTTTAGATTCCTCCAGAGTGAGACAATGCGATGTTTGTCTTTCTCTGTGTAGTTTATTTCTTCTCTTTTCTTTTTTCCTCTTTTTTTTATTTTTATTTTTTGAGATCGTGTCTGGGTCTGGTTGTTAAAGCTGGAGTGCAGTGGTGTGATCTCGGCTCATTGTGTCCTTGACCTCCTGGGGCTGAGGTGATTCTCCCACCTCAGCTTCCTGATTAGCTGGGACTTTTGAGAAATGTCTCTTCAGGTTCATTGCCCAACTTTGGCTGGGTGACTTGGTTTTGCATGTTTCGCTTCTTAGTAGCATTAGTTTCTCATGCATACCATGTAACAACCTGTTTCAGATAAATGATTCCTCATCATGCCCTCCCTATATGAAGAATGCTTAAGCTCCAAGAGGTTTTCATAGTGCCTGTATATTTCTCCCAACCGTGTATGAGAGTGTGTTTGCAGCTTCCTCCGGGGAATTTGTTTGAAATAATTGGTTTCTTTTAATTGTTCAAATTAGGATGAGTCTCTATCTGAGCGTGCTTTTCATTTACGGTTTAGAGATGACTGGTAATGTCGAGAACCACCCTTTTTACATGTTAGTGCATTGCACATTGTCTTTTTAGTAATGTCTGTTCAGGTTTGTGTCCCAGTTTTGGCTGGGTTACTTGGTTTTGTGTGTTTTCTCCTCAGTGATGTCTTAGTTTCAGATACATGATTCCTTATAATACCCTTTCTATCTGAAGAATGCCTTCTGAGTGTTGGTTGGTGCATTGATTTCTTTACTGTGTAGTATTTTTTCAGTTTTTTTTCTTTGTTTTTACTGGTTGATTATTATTTTAGTTTTCAGTGATGATCCTTTTTTTTCTTTTTTTTTGAGATGGAGTCTCTCTCTCTGTTGTCCAGGCTGGAGTGTTGCTGCCATCTCGGCCCACTGCAAGCTCTGCCCCCCGGGTTCATGCCCTTCTCCTGCCTCACCCACTCATGTAGCAGGGACTACAGGCACTTGCCACCACACCTGGCTAATTTGTTTTGTATTTTTAGTAGAGACAGGGTTTCACTGTGTTAACCAGAGTGTTCTTGATCTCCTGACCTCGTGATCCACCCACCTCTTGGCCTCCCAAAGTGCTGGGATTACAGGTGTGAGCCACACAGTGATTATTCTTGTAAGATACAGTCAATAATAAAAACCAGAATTTTTGACTTCTGTTATTGGAAGTGTTTTCCTTTTGTTGTTTCTCGAACTATTTAACATAGATTCAGGTTTTTCGAAACTTAAGCTCACTCTGTTTTCCTGTAGGCGTTTTATGCTTTTGAGTCATGTGTTTAGGTTTTAATTTGTGAGCCACAGCACCCAGCCTCGTTGCATCTTGTAGGCATTCTTTTGAGAAAAAATGTGTTGACTGCATACAGGTGTGTGTTTAGGTACTGTTAATGTCCACAGGTGCATGGTTTCTTTTTATGCCTCTGCCATAGTCTTTGGGTAAGTAGAGCTTTTACCTGTAATTTGAAGATGAGTGTGAGGCCTCCAATCTGGTTTGTATTTCCTGGGTAGGATTGCTTTGCATATTCAGGGTCTTTGGTGGTTCCATGTGAATTTTTAGCTGTGTGTAGTTAACATTTTGTAACAAGTTTGGTTCATACCATATGTCCAGAATTAGTGGTGCAGTGGGACATTGTGATAATTGTATACCTTACATAAGGGTAGAATCAGAGTTTCTTGTGCCTGTGATCAGGTATAGGTCTTATATGTTTGAGGTGGGGACACCAGTATCCTCCTTGGTAGCTATTTTGAGAAAGATACGACCATATTTTTAGGCGCAGTCGCCCTGCTGTGGAGTAGAATACCAGAATGTATTCCTCTCCTTTAACTCTCTGCATCCCTATTGCCAATCCTTGCCCATGTCCTCCCTTCCAGCCAGGCTGTGGTGACCACTACTGTATTTTCACCTTCAGTGAGTTAAATTTTTCAACTCCCACATGATTGAGAACATGCAGGTTGATCTTTCTCTTTTCTCTGCTTTTCGATTTGATTGAACATAGTATCTTGCAGGTGCAGCCGTGTTGTGGGAAATGAAAAATGCCCTGAATTTTGATGGCTGAAAAGTATTCCATTGTGCCTGTGTCCTGGAAATTCTTCATCCCTTCATCTGTGGATGGACAGGTAGGTTGATTCCATCCTTTGGCTATTGTCAGTAGCGTGTCAAGAAAGAGGAGAAGGAAGCTTTGTCTCCAGCATACAAATTTCATTTGCTTTCCATGGAGAGCCATGGGTGGGATGATGACATTACAAGTTAGGCACAGGTTTAATTTGTTCAGGGACCTTCTACTGTTTTTCCTAGAGTGCATCCTAATTAAAGTTCCACCCAGTAGTGTATAAGATTATCCCTTTCTTTGTCTTATCACAAGCCTTTGCCTTATTTCAAACGCAGTCTTGCTTTTTGGCAATATTCATATCAGTTAGATTGAGATGGTGCCTGAGTGTGGTTTTCAGTTACATGTTTGAGATGAGTTGATCTCAAACAGTGATATTGAGAAACCCATTCTTTTACCTGGTTTTTTGTTTTTGTTTTTTGGAGACGGAGTTTCTCTCTTGTTGCCCAGGCTGGAGTGCAGTGGCGCCATCTCAGCTCACTGCAACCTTTGTCTCCTGTGTTTAAGCGATTCTCCCTCCTCAGCCTCCCGAGTAGCTGGGAGTATAGGTGTGTTCCCCCATACCTGGATAATTTTTGTGTTTTTAGTAGAGACAGGGTTTCACCATTTTGGCCACGCTGGTCTCAAATCCCTGACCTCAGGTGATCTGCCCTTGGCTATTGTGAGTAGTGCTTCACTCCACCTGGGAAGGCAGCTATGATTTCCATGTAGTTATTTCTCTGTCCATAAGTAGATACCCACTGTTGGAATTGCTAGATGAAGTGGTAGCTAGCTTTGTGATTGTTTGGGAAGCTCCAAGTGGTTTTCGTAGTACCTGTGGTAATGGTGATTTCTCTCAACAGTGTGGAAGAATATCTGTGTATGCAGGTTTCCCTGGGGCATTCGTTTGAAATAACTGGTTTTTATTTTTTATTAGAATTAGAGTGAGTTTGTATCTGAGTGTGATTATCATTTACAGTTTAGAGATGACTAGCAGTGGTGAGAACCACCTTTTTTTGTCCTGTTAGTGAATTGCATATTGCCTTTTGAGTAATGTCTGTTTGTTCAGGTTTGTTGCCCAGTTTTGGCTGGGTTACTTGGTTTTGGGTGTTTTGCTCCTCAGTGGGGTGTTCGTTGCTCCCAAATGTCAGATAACAACCGCTTTTAGATACATGATTCCTCGTAATATCCTTTCTGTCTGAAGAATGCCTTCTGAGTGTTGGTTGGTGCATTGTTTTCTTTACTGTGCAGAACTTCTTCAGGTTGTTTTGTGTGTTTATTTCTTGATTATTTTAGTTGTGATTTTTATTTTTGTTTTTCCTTTTTATTTTTTGAGACAGAGTCTCGCTCTGTTGCCCAGGCTGGAGTAGGGTGTCACGATCTTGGCTCACTGCAACCTCCACGTCCCATGTTCGACCGATTCTGTTGTCTCAGCCTCCGGAGTAGCTGGGACTGCGGGTGTGTGCCACTACTCCCAGCTAATTTTTGTATTTTTAGTAGGCACAGGGTTTACCATGTTGGCTAGGCTGGTCTCCAAATCCTGACCTCAAGTGATCTGCCCGCCTTGGCCTCCCAAAGTCCTGGCTTTACAGGCGTGAGCCACCGTGCCTGGCTAGCAGTGACTGTTTTTGTAAGATAAGGTCAATGACGAAAACTAGAATTTTTGACTTCTATTGTTGGAAGTGGTTTTTTTTCTGTTTTTCTTTTTTTCTATTTGCTTTTACATCCTATGAGCTTAGATTCAGGTTTTCCTAAACTTAAGCTCACTCTGTGTTTTCCTGTAGCAGTTTTACGCTGTTAGGTCTTGTGTTTAGGGTTTAATGTATTTTGAGTTTATGTTTGTGTATTGTATAACAACAAGGTCTTATTTCATTGTTTTGTGTGTGGCTATCCAGTCGTTTCAGACTGCTCAATTGAACAGACTGCTGACTCCTCATCTCATCTTTTTTCCCTCTGAGATGCAGTCCTACTCATGCTGTCACCCAGACTAGAGTGCAGTGGCGAGATCTCAGCTCTTCACAACATGTGCATCCTTGCTTCAAGAGATTCTCGTGCTTCATCTTCCCAAGTGGTTGGGATTGCTGGTGTGCACCACCACACCTGACTACTATTTTTTGTATTTTAACTAGAGATGGAATTTCACCATTTTGGCCAGGCTGACCTCAAGTGATCTGCCTGACTTGGTCTCCAAAAGCTCTGGGAGTACAGGTGTGAGCCACAGCACCCAGCCTCATTATATCTTCTAGGCGTTCCTTTGAAAAAAATGTGTTGACTGCATACAGGTGTGCGTTTAGGTTCTCTTATGTCCCTAGGTTCATGGATTCATTTTTATGCCGCTACTGTAGTCGTTGAATGAGTGGAGTATTTACATGTAGTTTGAAATTGGGGAATGTGCAGCTTCCAATTGAGTTTGTATTCCCTTGGATTGCTTTACATATTCAGGTTCTTTGGGTCTTTGGTGGTTCCATGGGAATTTCTAGCCATGTATCATTAGCATTCCATAAAACGTTTGTTTCATACTTTATGTCCAGAATTAGGGGTGCATTGGGACATTGTGATACTTGTTTGTATAGCTTGAGTATGGATAAAATCAGGGAGTTTCCCATGCCTCTGAGCACGTATAGGTTTAGTATCTTCGATGTGTGAACATTCAGTATCCTCCTTGGTAGCTGTTTTGAAAACGGCACGACCATGTTGTTAAGTATTGTCGCCCTGCTTTGGACTGGAATACCAGAATGTATTCCTCTCCTGTAACTCTCTGTGTACCTACTGCCAATCCTTGATATCCTCTCCTCCACCTAGTCTGTGGTGACCACTGCTATATTTTTACCTTCAGTGAGTTAAATTTTTCAGCTCCCACATGAGTGAGAACATGCAGGTTTGGTCTTTGTCTGCGTTTCTGATTTGATTGAACAGAATATCTCCGGGTGCAGCCATGTTGCTGGAAATGATAGGATTCCAGGAATTTTGATGGCCCAAAAGTATTCCACTGTGTCTGTGTACTAGAGATTCTTCATCTGTTCATCTGTGGGTGGACACGGAGGCTGATTTCTTACCTTGGCTTTTGTGCATAGGGCTGAGTTCCACCTGAGATGACAGATCATCTCTTCCATGTCCTGATCATGTGCTCTGTGTATATACCTAGTAATAGAATTACTAGATAAAACGGTAGTTGTAGTTTTACGATTTCAAGGAACATCCAATTGGTTTCTTTAGCGTGCATACTAGTTTACCATATCCCACCAGCTGTGGAGACAAGTTCCTCCTCTGAGAAGATTCTCACCATTGCTGACGCACACCAAAGCGTAAGTGAAAATCACACCAGATTTCATCTCACTCTGGTTAGAATGAATACTACCAACATTTGATGGCAGTTTGTTTCTATAGAGTATACATTATACCCCCCGACACACAACCCAAGGTGCAAGGGACATTTTGAGATATCTATATGTAGCATTTTGATGAAATCATTGTATCTGGCATGTCTGATCTTCCATCATTATTTTATCTCTGTGGAGAGAATATTCAGAACCGTATTTTCCAGCTAATTTTGAAAAATTTTTCTAGATTCTGTTGACCCTAGTCACCTAGTCAGCCTGCTGTGCAATAGAACACCAGAATGGATTCCTTGTATCTGAGCGTCACTCTGTACCCGTTACCAGTCCCTACCCAGGCTCTCTGCTCTCCCCAGCCTCCAGTAACCCCTACCGGAAGTTCTGCTTTTAAGAGACAATGTTTTCTGGATTCTGTGTAGCTGATGTCATGCAGCGTGGGTCTCTCCCTGGCAGACTCATTTCACCTAATTGTCTTCCCGGTTTCTCCAAGTGGTTGCAGACGACATGATTTCCTGAAGTGTTACAGCTGAAGTGTGTTTCCTTGTGTACATATACTGTGGTTCTTTTATCCTTTCGTCTGTGGATAGACAGGTAGGTTGATTCCACATCTTGGCTATTGTGACTAGTGCTTCAGGACACATGAAAAGGCAGAGAACACAGGGATTTCATTTTCTCTAAACGTGTACCCAGTGGTGGGATTGCTATTGGAGTGGCAGTTGTACTTTTACCTTTTGTTGTTCGTTTCTTCTTTTAAAAAAAAAAAGAACGGAGTCTTGCTCTTGTCGCCCAGGCTGGAGTGCAGTGGCGCGATTTCGGCTCAATGCAAGCTCCGCTTCCTGCGTTCAAGCGATTCTGCCGCTTCAGCCTCCCGAGTGGCTGGGAATCCAGGCACCTGCCACCACGCCTAATTTTTGTATTTGTAGTAGAGACAGGATTTCAGCATGTTGGTGAGGCTGGTCTTGAACTCCTGACCTCATGTGATCCCACCTGTCTCGGCCTCCCAAAGTGCTGAGATTACAGGTGTGAGCCACTGTGCCCGGCCTACCTTTTACTTTTTTAAGGAATTTCCAAAAGTTTTTGTAGTGTGTACATAATTTTCATTCCACAAAGTGTGTGGAAGATTTTTTTTTTTTTTTCTGCAAGTCTACGCTGACCATTGCCTTCAACAATTTTGATTTTTGTCTTTTGTAATACTCATTCTAGGTAGAATTAGATGGTAACCGAGTATGGTTTTGATTCATGTTTTTGTGAGGATTAGTGATATTGAGGAACTGTCACCTGTGAGTCCATTTCTTGCCATCTTTTCACTCAGGTCTATTTAGATCCTTTTACTTGGATATTTGTTGTTTTTATTGTTGTTGTTTTTCACTTAGTAATATCACTTTATTGTATGTGTTAGATAACAACCTCTTTCAAGGTTAGGATTTTTTATTGTTTCTCTCAGTCTTTAGGATTCCTTTTTTTTGTTTCATTGTTTCCTTTTCCCTGTAGAATTTGTAAAGTGTCCCTAGTCGCATATGGTTATAGTTGCATATGTTAGCAGTGACTTTTGTATTCAACACCGCGCGTCCATGATAACAGAAAAACATGCGTGCGCGCACACACGCACAGAGCCAAGCCTTGCACTGTCTGTGGGTATAGTTTCCCTACCTTTTTTTTAGTGTTATGATGCTTTTTTACCTTTTGCAGCCTGTTTGCATAGATCAAGGGTTTCCTAAAATATACACCCACTCTCTTTTCTTATAGGACCTTTACAGTTTCAAGATTGAGTTTAGGTCTTCATTTTGTGTTGATTTTGTGTATCGTGCATTGTAAGGGTCCTATTTCAGTGTTTTTCCTGTAGATATTCATTTTTTCAAAATCGATAATTGAACCAGACTCTCCCTTTCCCATTGTATCTTTTTGGGGTTTTGAAAAATGTATTCCCTACACATCATGTTGGAAAAAGTATTTGGCTGCCTCATTGTGAAACTTAGGTCCTCGTTCTGTGTTTGTGACAGTCACGAATTGTTTGGAGAACTACAGATTGTTTTTTGATTGATTATTTTCTTTGGTTCTTACCTTGGATTTTTCTTTTAATGCTTTCTACTCTTATTATTACAGTTTAAAAGGTATATATGTAAGTTAGTTACATCTGTTGATTGCATGACCCTGAGACTTGGGGTCCCAACAATCCCGTAACCCAGGCAGTGAGCAGAGGGCCCACAGGGTGGGTCTTCAGCACACGCTCCCTCTCCCCTGTTTTTTTATTGGTCTGTGGTCATTCCCGGTGTCTGGTGTTCTCTTCTTTATGTTTGAGTCCATTCAAAGTTTAGCTCCTGCTTATAAGTGAGAACATGTGGCATTTGGTTTTCTATTTGGGCCTTGGTTCACTTCTGACACTGGCCTGCAGTTTCCACCTTCTGTTGTCAGGTGATCCTCCCTGATAGTTCTACAGGTGCCCACCACCACATCCGGCTAATTTTTTTATTATTGTAGAGATGGGATCTCACCATTTTGCTCAGGCTGGTCTCAAATTCTGGACTGAAGCGATCCACCTGCCTTGGCTTCCCAAAGTGTTAGAATTACAGGTGTGAGCCACTGTGCTGGCCTCTCATGCACTGTTGATGGGTAGGTTGATTCCATGTCTTTGACATTGTGAATAATACTACTATGAACATAACGAGTGCCTGTGTCTTTTGGATAGGAGGATTGATTTTCCTTTGGGTAGATGCACAGGAGAGGGCTTTCTGGGTGAGATGGCAGTTCTGTTTTCAGCTCTTTGAGAAATCCCCAATCTGCTTTCAATGGTGTCTGTACTAGTTTTCATCCCCTCCCCTCCCCGAAAGCGTACCAGCGTTTCGTTTCCTCGGCTGCCTCGCCAGCATGTGTTCCTCGTCTGCGTGGTCCTCACCATTGTGACCTCCATGGGATTACAACGTCTTGTAATGTTTTTGATTGGCAGCTCTCTGATAGTGAGTTTGAGCATGTTTTCCTATATGTTGGTTGCTTGTACATTGACTTTTAAGAAGTGTGTGTTCGCATCTCTTGCCTGTTTATTAATGGATATTCCCTAGTTGACTTGTTGAGGGCCTTGTAGATTCTGCATATTAGATGTGTGCAGATGCACAGTTTGGGACCGTGTTCTCCCTTTGTGTACACTGTTAACTCTGTTGGTAGTTTCTTTTGCTGTGCAGCAGCTCTTTCAGGTATTCGGTCTGACGTGTCAATTTCTGTTTTTGTTGCCGTTACTCTTCAGGACTTAGCCATCTAAATGTTTTGCCAAAGCCTATGTGGAGAAGGATATTTCACAAGTTTTCTCATAAGATTTTAATAGTTTGGAGTTTTCCATTGAAATCTTTCATTCATCTTGAGTTCCTCTTTGTGTCTGGTGAGAGGTAGGGGCCTAGTGTTACTCTTCTGCACATGGCTAGCCACTTATTTCAGCACCGTTGATGGAATAGGGTGTCCTTTTCCTTTGCTTACTTTGGTGGATTCTGTGTTAGATAGATAGTTTTCAGGTGTGGGTTTACTTCTTGGTCCTGCCTTGTGTTCCACTGCTCTGTGTGGAGGCCGGTCCCTAGCTTTTCCATGAAATTTGAAATCAGGAAGTGTGATGTGTCCGATGTAGTCTGGATGTCTCAGGATTGCAGAGGATGAAACTCAGGGTGCTTCATGGTCCCACATGAATATTAGCATCACCTATTTCTATTTCTTGCAACAGATGTGTTGCATAGTAAACGAACAATACAATGAGAGGGTAGAGTGGGGCATTATGGTCCATGCATACATTGTGAAATGATGAAATCAGGGTGCTTAGTGTTTCTGATACCTTTTCCCATTGTTTATTCCTTTATGGTGGGACCCTTTCAGTATTCTCCTGTCAAGCTGCTTTGAAAGTGATGTGCTGATACTGTTAACCCTGGTCACCCTGCGCTGGAAGAGAACAACTGAATTTTCTTCCTCTCATTTCCCATTTACAATCCCTGCCCATTACTCCTCTTTTCCCCCAATCTCTGCAAACCAATATTGTGCTCGCCAGGTCTTTGAGATAGAGTTTCTCAGATTCTGCATGTGTGAGATGGCTCAAGGTTTGATTCTTTCCCCTCTTGTTCATTTAATTTACCATCATGTCCTCCAGGTGCAACCCTGTGGTTCCCCACGATACGATTTCATTGTGGTTTTCTGTGTGAAGAGTATCCCGGTGTGTACATGTGGAGCAGCTTCTTTCTCCCTTCGTCTGTGGACAAGCAGGTAGGTTGATGCTTACACTGGCTCTTGGGAACAGTGCTGGAATCCACATGGGTGGGTAGATCTATGTTTGATGTCCTGATTTCAATGACATTGAGTGTATTCCTAGTAGTATAATTACCGGTTGAAATGGTAGTTGGAGTCTTTTAAGGTTTGGAGGAACCTCCAAGTGGTTTCTGGAGTGCGTGTGCTAGTTTACCTTCTCACGAACTGTGAAAGAGTGTCTCTCTCTGTCTCTCTCTGGAAACACACCAGCGTTTCCCTTTCATTCAGTGGTTTTTTTTTTTCCTCTTTATTTTAATACTCATTCCAATTAGAATGAGATGGTGTCTAAGTGTGGTTTTGTTTTACATTTTGCTTGTGGTTAGTGATGTTTGCCAAGTTACTGTGAACTTGTTTCAATTTGACATGTAAGACTGGGCAATGTTTCTGAAGACCTGAGATGGATGCACAGGTAAAAGTTTCTGACTCAACATTACTGATCCTCATGAGAAGTCAATCAGAACCACACTCAGATAGCATCTCTGGTGAGAATGAATGTTACCAAAATGGGACAGCAGTTTCATTGTCGTATGTCTGTGTATAACCAGCAGTGCAAGGCACAGTTTGATCTGTGCAAACATAGCTTCATCATGAAGTCGCGGTGTCTGGCATCTCTGTGAGCTCCAGACTTATGATTTCTCTGTGGAGAGAATATTCACAACTGACCTTTGTAGCTGTTTTAAAAATTGTGGTTTTCTGTTCTTGCCTTTTGGCATAATGGCCTACGGCTCTGTCCAGGTTTCTGGTAAGGGCATGGATTTGTTTTATGGCTGTGTAGTGTTCCGTGGTGTGTATGTACCACATTTCCTTTCTCTGATCCACTGCTGATGGGCACCGAGGCTGATTCCATGTCTTCACCATTGTGAGTAGTACTGCCGTGAACATGCGAGTGCATGTGTGTTTTGGATGGAAGCATTTTCCTTTGGTAGATCCTTAGGAGTGGGATTCCAGCGCTGGGTGGTAGTTCTCTTTTAAGTTCTTTGAGAACTGTCTGCACTGCTCTCCAGGGAGTCTGAACTAGTTTGCATTTCCCCCAACAGTGAACCTGCATTTCTTTGCTCATCTGCCCCACCAGCCTCTGTTGTTGTGGACTGTGTATCATAATTGCCATTCTGACCAGTGTGAGATGGTATCTCAGTATGTTTCTGATTTGCATTTCTCTGATAATCAGTGAGATCGAGCATCTTTTCATTCTCATTGGTTACTGGTACACCTTCTTTAAGTGTGTGTTCATGTCCCTTGCCCATTTACAAGTTGGGTTTTTTTTTTTTTGTTTTTTTAAGCTCTTTACATAAATCCTGGATATTAGATGTTTTTCAGATGCATAGTTGGGAATATGTTCCCTCATTCTATAGGCTGTGTGTTGACTCTGGTTGTTTCTGTGCAGCAGCTTTTTGTGTATTAGGTCCCACTTATCAGGAATTGTTTTGTTTCATTGCTTTTGGGACTTGACATATAAATGCTTTGCCAAAACCTCTGTCGAGAAGGGTATTTGCTAGATTCTCGTGCAGGATTTTTTTTATAGTTTCAAGTCTTGGATTTTTATGTATTTTTGTGTTTATTTACAGACCAAATCTCGCTGTGTCATACAGGCTGGAATGCAATGGAGCGATCTTGGCTCACTGCATCCTCCATCTTCGGGGTTCATGTGATTCTTGTGCATCAGTCTCCCAAGTAACTGGGAGTACAGGTACGTGCCACCATACCCGGCTTAGTTTTGCTTTTTAAGTAGACAGGGTTTCACCATGTCAGCCAGGGTGGTCTCGAACTTTCTGACCTCAAGTCATCCACCTGCTTTGGCCTCCCAGAGTGCTTGGATTCCAGGCATGAGCCACCACACCCAGCCCAGGATTTTGCATTTCAATCTTTGATTCAAGTTGAGTTGCTTTCTGTACATGGTGAGACACGGGCCCAGTGTTATTTCTTCTGCATCTAGGTAGCCACTGATCCCAACACCACTTACTGATAGGGAATCCTTTCTCCATTGCTTATTTTTGTTGTTTTATTTTCAAGTATCAGATGATTTCAGGTGTGCAGGTTTGTATCTGGGTCTTCTAATCTGTTCCACTGTTCTGTATAAGCGGGTGCCCAGCTTTTTAGTGAAAATGCCTAGCCATTACATTGTGAGTGTTTTCTTAGAGTATTTCCTTTGTTTTAATTTTTTAAAAATACCTTTAGCAGCCTACGTGCATGTATTACTTTTCGAAAATACATGCACACCTTATGTTTTGTAGTAGTTTTGTGGTGTCAGAATTGAGTTTTAGGCCTTTAACATATTTTGCATTGATTTTTGTGTTGGCATGGCATAACGGTCCTATTTCAGTGTTTTGCTTCTGAATGTTCAGTCTACTCAGAATCATCTATTGAACAGGCGGTCTTTTGCCCATTGTGTCTTTTTGGTGTTCTTTTGAAAAATGTGTTCACTCTATGTAATTGGGGTTGAGTATTTGGTTTACTGATTCTGTCCAGTTTCTTGGTTTATGCCAGTAAATGATTGTTTGGATAATTATAAAAGTTTGTGTTTTTCATTCATTGTTTTAGCTTCTAAGTTTGTATTTGTTAACTGATTTCTACATTTATTATAGACTAAAAGATACAAATGCAGATTAGTTACTGCCTTTGGTATATTGCATGACCTGAGACTGGGATCCCAGAGACCTTATCACGGAGGGAGTAGGTGGACCCACTGGGTAGGTCTTTAGCCCATACCTCGTCCCTTCTTCCTTTTTCGTCTGATAAGTCATCAGTGTGTGTTATTCTCACTTTTACGGTAGGGTGTATTCAATGTTAGCTCCACCTTAGAAGTGAGAACATGTGGCATTTGGTGTTCTGTGTTTTCCTTGTTTGCCTTTAGATAATGGCCTCCAGCTCCTTTCATGTTGCTGCCAAGGACATGATTTCGTCGTTTTTTGTTTTTTGTTTTATGGCTGCCTAGTTTTTTGTGGTATATATGTACCAAATTTTCCTTTTCTGATCCACTGTTGATGGATACCTAGGTTGATTTCACGTATTTGCCATTGTAAATAGTTCCGCCAAGACCATTTGTGTGCATGTGTGTTTTGGACAGAAGGATTTATTTTCCTTTGTGTATACCCCAGTGGTGGGCTTGCTGTGTCAGATGGTAGTTCTGGTTTAAGTTCTTTGAGCAATCTCAGGAGTTCTTTTTGTGGTGTCTGAACTACTTTGCATTTTCACCAAAAGTGGACCAGTGTCCCCCTTCTCTGTTGCCTCACTAGTGTCCTTTTTTTCTTCCTGACTGTGTAATCGCCATTCTGAGCAGCGTGCGATATGTTTCATTGTGCTTTTGATTGGTATTTCTCTGACAGTTAGGTTCAGCATATTTTCAAATTTTTGGTTGCTTTTATATCATCTTTCAAGAAGTGTGTGCTTATATCCATTGCCTATTAATTATTTGGAGGGGGGGTTGGCTAATTGATTTGTGTAAGGTCTTTAAGGGAGATTCTGGACATTAGAAGCTTGGTCAGGTGCATAGTTTGGGAACATTTTCTCTCATCCTGTATGTTGTCTGTCTACTCCGTTGGTAATTTCTTGTGTTATGTGGTGGCTCTTTAGTGTATTAGGTGCCACATGTCGATTATTGCTTTTGTTGCAGTGTCATGTGGGGTTTTAAGCATATAAATGCTTTGTCAAAGCTGATGTTGAAGGGTATTTCCTAGGGTCTCTTGTAGGCTTTCTGTACTTTGAGGTCTTCCATTTACATCCTTCATTCATCTGAGTGAACTTTGGTAGATGGTGAGAAGTAGAGGCCTAGTGTTACTTACTCTTCTGCATATGCCTCGCCATTTATCCCCAAGACTATTGAAAAGGGAGTTCTTTCCCCATTACTTAATCATTGTGTATTTCATCCACAATCAGGTGGTATGAGGTGTGTGGGTTTACTTCAGGTTCTGTGTTCTCTTCCACTCATCCATGTGGAAGCAGGTCCCCAGAGTTTGAGTGAAATTTCAAATCAGAGAGTGTGATGCATCGAATGTAATTTGGATTTCTCAGAATTACTTTGGAAATACAGGGCATTTCCTGGTCTCAGATGAACTTCAGCATTGTTTGTTTCTATGTCCTTAAAAGCAATTTGTCCCGTAGTAAAAGTATACAATTAAAGAGTAGAGTGGGACATTTTAATCCATGCATATATACCTTGTGTAATGATCAAAGGAAGGCATTGACTGTCTCTGTTACCTTGTGTAGTTATTATTTATTAATTCTCTGTGGTTGCAATATTCAGAGTCTTTTTCACGCTTTTTTGGAAAATATGGTGGGATACTGTTAAGTCTAGACACCCTGCTGTGAAGTAGAACAGCTGAATTTATTCCTGTCATCTGAGTGTAACATTGTATCCATTTCCCAGTTCCTGCCCCTGCTCCCCCACCACCAGCCTCTCTTCACCACTGTGGAACTTTCTATGTCTAGGAGATAAAGTCATTTAGAGAGAAAGTTGATGTCATTCTCACATGCATGAAATCATGCCGTGTTTGCGTTTCTCTTCCTGGCTCATTTCGTTGAAGGTCATGTCCTCCAATTTCTGCACGTTGCTGCAGATGCCATGGTTTCATGAATTTCTGTGGCCGAAGAGGATTCCTTTGTGTACTGTAGTTTCTTTTTCCTTTTGTGCGTGAACAGGTACGTTGATTGGATACCTTCCCTATTGTGAATAGTGCTTCTGTCGCCATAGGAAGGCCGATACCTCTTCAACATAACAGATTCCATGTGCTTTCTTTGTATAACCGGCGTGGGATGCGGTGAGGTATTGTAATGTAAATGTTTAAGGCACCTTCAACTGCTTGCTTCGTGTGTATAATAATGTACATTCCCACCAAAAGTGTATAAAAGTGTCTTTTTCTGCATTTCTCCGTTGGCCACTGCCTGTGAACATATGGGTTGTTTTTTTGTTTGTTTGTTTTTGGTAAGTTTCATTCTAATTAAAGTGAGAGGTATCTGCGTGTGATTTGTACTTAGACATTTGTGTGAGGATTAGTGAAGTTGAGCAACTTCTCTTTGACCTGTCAATTTCATGTTTTCTTTTCAAATGTGCCTGTTCAGGTTCCTTGCCCAGTTTTAGCTTGGGTATTAGGTTTTGTTCATTTTCCCAGTTAGAGTAGTGTTAGTTTCTCGTACATGTTAGATAACAACCCCTTTCACAGATATGATTCTGCTGAACTTTCTTTCAGTCTGTAGGATGCTTTCTTTAATAGTTCATTGTTTCTCTTCCCCATGCGGAAGCTCTAAAATGTTGTATAGTCCCATGTGTTTGTATTCACATTTGTTAGCAGTGATTTTAGTGTCCCATCCAAAAAGAACAATAAATAAGAAAAAGTATTGCCAAATCAATTGCACGGTCTAAGGGTTTCTTGCCATAGATAATTTTTGCTCTTGTTTTCTTTCTTTTTTTGCAAACTGCATGCAGAGATACAAGTTTTGCTGAGATATAGACTCCACTTTCTTATAGGAGCTTTGCGGCTCCAGGATTGGGTTTAGGTGTTTATTTGGTGTTGATTTGGGTATGATATTGCAGACCCTGAAATGTTGACTTCTTTGTCTTGTTTTTGTCTGATACAGCACAAAGGGAGTTGTGTTCAAATTAAGCTGTGGGAAATCCTTTAGATACTGGGTTAAACGATTTCTCCTTCCTTGATGTCACTTAGGGGAAGGTGTCAGAAAGTCTGGGAAGATCCATAGTGGAAAACGTTTATCTGTATTTCGTGGAGACTGATGGCCAGCTCCCCTGCCCAGGACTTCTGGAGAAGGCAGCCTACCATTGCTGAAATACCTCCCATCTCCAGCTCTTCAGTAAATATTTAAGTGATTCATTAGAGATTTAAACCTTAAGAAGTAAGTACCCAGTGGAACTTGAATTTAACTAGAATTTAAGTTTGAGAGTAGCTGGTCAGTAGAAAAGTGTGGTAGATTGGGTGACATACTATGGTTTTTAAGGGTTTTTGTTTTGTTTGTTTGTTTGTTTTCCTTAAACAGAGTTAACAATAATCAATTTGAATAAAGAAGGAAAACATTAAACGGTTGGTATGTGTAACATGAACGCTGTTCCATGACTTGTTCAGCCATAGCCTCAATTTGACATGCTAGACTATGAATCCTAAAGACTGGTATACGGTTACTACACTGGAGTTACTTTTCTCATTCCAACAACTGTAGAACATTTTGAATAGCATTTTAAAATTTTATTTTAATGAAAGCTTAGAAAAAAAACCTTATACAGTAAAGAAAGTAAACATAAAATGGTCTCCCGCCTGACTCGCAAAAGACCCATGGCCATTTCCTGGCCAGCAGGAGCAGCTTGTGTTAAGGAGCAGGGGCCGGATGCAGCTGAGCTGCCAGCCTCCTAGATGTGGTTCCTTGGTGTCCCCGGTCTGGAAGGACGGGGCAGAGCCGGTGTTCTGGCCAACATCCCGGTGGGGTCCCAGCCACTGCAGGATGTTGCTGGCCTACTGGGATTTGGGCTCCAGCTGGCAGGAAAGCTTGTAGCTGCAGGACAGAGAGGTAGCTGTGAGGCCACCATGAGCCACACATCAGGTCCCCTCTCAGTGCATGCCCAGCTGAAATCCTGGGTCCCCAGCGGTCCCCATGCAACAGGGCTTGATGCTGGCCGTGGAGTCACGGCCATAGGCTCTCTGTAGCTGGCCACAGGAGAGCCTCCTCTAGGCCACGTGGGGTGGCTGACACCTGTAATGTCAGTACTTCGGGAGGCTGTGTGCGGTGGATTGCTTGAGGCTAGGACTTTGAGACCAGCCTGGACAACATCGTGAAACCCCATCTGTACCAGAACAACAACAGCAGAACAACAGGACATGGTGTCTGTACCTGCTGTACCATATCCTGGGACATGATGTACAGCGGTAGTCCCAGCTGCTTGGGAGGCTGACAAAGGGCTTGAGCCCAGGAGGCAGACGTTGCAGTGAGCAGAGATGGCGACACTGCAGTGCAGCCTGGGTGCAGAGCTAGACCATGTTAAAAAAAAATGGAGCGCCTTCTCCCACCCTCTGCCCGTCCGCTAGGCCCTCACCTCTCCTTGTCACTGAGCTGCTCCATTCTTTTGAAATAGGTGACAAATTTCTCAAGAGGCCGAAGCCTGTAATTCATGGCAGCCACGTGGAGCAGCTGCATTTCCTGCAGAACTCGGACCTCCTAGAGACAGAGGACAGGTTGCTGACACGGCCTGCGTGGAAGATGCTGAGGGGACCTTTGGTAGGCAGGGAGAAGGGGCTGATCCCTGGGGCAGTTTTCTGCAGGGGCCCCATGCAGCCCCCAGCCTGTTCTCAGAGTTGGATGTAAATATCCCCTCCTGCAGGAATTGGTCTTTGATCCAGTGCCTTTCCCACTCTCTCCACTGGGATAGATTTCCTCTTCCTGTGTGTGTCAACCCCTCCCAGTAAACCTAAGATGTAGAGGATGGAGCCAGGGAGTGTCCTGCCCAGGGTGGACTGTGAGGTCCACATCCCCACCCTCCTCCAATGTTAGCGTCCCAGCTGCTCACCTTCCTCTTCTTGTTGATGTTGCCCTGGAAGGCAGACAGAATCCATCACCAAGGTCAATGGCCCACAACCAGCCCCACTCCACCCCTTCCCATGCTGTACTACTGCCAGGGACACCAGGGTCAGGGGATGTGCACGTGACAGGACTTGGATCTGCCTCAGACTCCAGGTTCTAGAGCAGGGGGCATGGGAGCTGAGGCTCAGGGACACTCTGCCCCACCTTTTTCTGATGACAGACAGGGAAACTGAGGTCTCTTATAGAAAGAAAGCACACAGTGACCCTGGAACTGCCTGCCCTTGGAGAGGCTCATTTCACTCTCCAATTACGGGACTATCCTGGGGAGTCACTGAGTCCAGCTCAGCCCACACCTCAGCAGCTTTGCAGTCAGGCAGCTCTGCAGCTTCACCACTCAGGGATAGGGACTGGTGGCTGCCATGGAGCCTCCATCACGCAGAGGTGATGAGATGGGCCTGACACCCCCACCCACAGGAGCAGCTGTGAGGCTCTCAGGAGAGGAGGTTTGCTTAGGGCTGAGATCTAAGGGCTCGGTCCACGACCCTCTCCTCCCAAGCCTCAGGATCCTGGTTCCCAACCAACCTGCCCCAGGCTCACTCACATCCAGATCGTCCGGGATGGCCGAATCCAACCTCTGTAACACAGTCAGAAAATCCCCCAGGAAAGGGGACCACTCCCTGTGCCAAGGAGGGTTGGGGAGGTGGTGATGAGTATTGGCCATCAGATGGCTGCCCACTGTCCTGTCCCA